TATAGATGTAGAAGGAAAGAGAGGTATTGAGGGTGTGTCCTGAGGAGAATCAACATTGTCTGGCATGGCTACTGCTTCAGGGGAGGCCATGACAGTTCACTCAGACAGTGCAGGGTTGATCTCCTCATACAGGGATGGAGAAACTGCTATCACTGGGTGTAGGGAAGCTGCTACCACTAGAGTTGGAGAGGCCACTTCTGCTGGGGGTGATGAGGCCTCCTCCCCTGGCAAAGAAGAGTCAGAATTTATGGACTCAATTTTTCCAGCTTCACCAGGGTCTTCCTCTCTGTCCCCATTCCAACTTACAAGATCTCATTCTCTCCCAATCATTGCCCTCACTTTAACAGTAGATACTCTGTGAGGTTGACAGTTCAATTTGTGTTCTGATTCTCCTAGAAGCAGGATGAGATTCTGCATTAGATTTTCAGCACCTTTTGGCTCTAAGGGGTAAGGGTCTCCTTCAGGGAAAACACAGAGGCTTTCAGGTTATTTATGCAGTGCTTGAGTGGCTACACCATTATACATTCCCACAAACAGAGCAAAAGGATTCCACTTTCTCCACAACCTTCTCAACATTTGCTATTTTCTGGTTTTTTTTTTTTTAATAGTAGCCACTTTAAGGGTTATGAAGAGTGTAGCTGAAGTCATAGAATAAGTTGGGAAGCATTTGTTTGTTTCAAAATTTTCCAGAAGAATTTGCATACAATAGGTAGTACTCCTTCCTTTAATGCTTAGTGAATTCTCCAGTAAAGATATTTGGCCTTGAAGTTTTGTTTTGGTTTTTTTTTTTGTCTGTATGGAGAAATTTTTAACCAAAATATCAATTTCTTTAAGGCACATAGTGCTTATTCAGGTTTTCTATTTTTCTTTCTGTCTTTTTTTTTTTGCTGGTGAAGATTCACCCTGAGCTAATATCCATTGCCAACCCTACTCTTTTTGCTTCAGGAAGATTTCCCCTTAGCTAACACCTGTGCCAATCCTCCTCGATTTTAAATGTGGGCTGCCACCACAGCATAGCTTGATGAGCAGTGTGTAGTTCTGCACCTAGGATCCGCACCTGGGAACCATGAACCCCCACAGCAGAGCACACAAACTTAACCACTAAGCCACTGGGCTGACAACTGTTTACTTCTTGAGTGAGCTTTTGGCATTTATGTCTTTTAAATGTTTTGCCCATTTCAACTGTCAGATTAATTGATATGAAATTGTTCATAATGTTCTCTTATTTTCCTTTTAATATCTGTAGAATATTTAGTGATGCAATGTCATTCTTGATTTTGGTAATTTGTCTTTTCTCTATTTTTCATGATCAGTCTGGTTAGAGGTTTATCAATTTTATCGATCTTTTCAAAGAACCATCTTACCAAGAACTGTTTTAATCTATTTTGATAGCTAGATCCAGTTAATATTAATCCTCACATAATTCTCTAATATACAACCATTTTAATTTAATCTTACAAAATAAGTTGAAGGTTAGCTTTCCACTCCACATAATAAAAATTTGAATATCATGAGTGGAAACTACCATTGATGTAGGTGTTCCCTCTACAAGATTTTAAAATTATGGCCATCTCACGTCTGATTAAACATCTCAAGTGATAATGAACTCAGTATCTTTTACATTTTTGTATAACTCAAAATTTTGGAACGGTCTTTTTTTGCATTGCGGCTTCTATCAAAATGCCACTAAAAACACATTACTAGAAAACAGGAGAGTTTATTTTGGGATTTCCTGTACAAAACATAATTCTACTGAGTATTATTTCCTAACTGTCTGTTTGAAATAGGATACATGATGGGGAAACAGAGTAAAAATAGAAATTAGGAGGAGAAACAACCCTTATTTTTCATTATAGCTCTGTTTCTGGTGATAGTCTTACTCAACTAAAGACTCTTCTTTTGCTTTAGAAGCTAACATAAGAAAAATGCCATTGGAGGCAGTGATTGCAGAAGGCAAATGAAGGCCTAGATCTTTAGTTACTAAAGGCAAAACTATATCAGAAATGCTCTCAAATAATCTTAGATTTAATATACTGATCTGTTAGTTATTGAACAAAAATTACACATGGAAATAGTCTAAGGATCAGAAATAAAGTAAACTATCTCCCCTCATCTATTTCATTCCTTGTTTACCCAAATTCCTATTTCCTGATTAAACCATTTGTCCCTATTCCTTCATTCTAATACAAACAAGAATTTTGGATGCATAATTTCTCCACACTTAATTTTTATCATTTTAAAATAAAAAGACAAATAGGTGAAAATAGTGTATAAGAAATACATAATATAGAAAATAAAAATCAAAAACCTATTTTTTCTTGGACTTTGTTTTTGGAAAATTATTTCAAAATTTTATGCACTCTGCCTGCTTTATTATAATGTTCAAGCTAATTTAACCATATTGTGTTATCATTCTACTTTGTTCTCCTTACCTGTGTTATCATAAGCATCTCCCCCTCTCTCTTTCTCTGATTTTATTTACTTATTCATTTATTTCATATTGGGGTTAAATCTCGGATTCTACTGCCTTATCTTATTTACACTCAATGTTGTTTCAGTTTTTTCTTTTCTTTGATCCTGCCTAGGCTTGGCAGACATAAAAATAGTGAAATACTAGTGATATTTTAGTGAGGCCTTAAAGAATAAATAAAAGTTGAAAAAGAAAAGATGTGCAGGAAACGTTACAAGAAGCATTAAAAATACATTGATATTTTGGGTCAAAGATGTGTAGGTGTTTTAAGGACAGGAAAGAGTTTTGGGGGAAATGTCTTTATAATCAACCAATTACTAATAGCCTTATTCTTTACTCAAAATAGCTATAAAACTCGAAGAAAATCCTAAAAAAAATACGTGGTATACTCATACTCTGACAATAATTCTTTATATTTTCACTTGCTGTAGATACTGTTGATAAAATATTCAAAGCTATATAGTTTGCTAGATTTTTGAGATTTCATTATATGTGTTTAATTATGATAAACCTAGAAGCTTATTTAAAAAGTCCTAAGAACTAAAATTGCTAATAATTGTCTTTCATTGATGATTTGCTCCAAATTCATAGGGATGTATACGTATTATATATTAAACAATGATAAACATAAGCCTGTACAACTTTTAAAAAGAGCAGAGGTTACACACTACTGTAAATATATACTAATTTTAGAGTCAGTTTCCTCACATATAAAAATGTTATTAAATACCACAGAATAGATTCTGATCCTAAAGACCAGTCTCCCCAACAGACTCTACTTGCATGAAAGGTATTCTTGATGCTGCTGAAGAGGATGGGACTTCCAAAGTCAGTCACTTCACCCACTGCTGCTTCAGACGAAGACAGAGTGTAAGTTGCAGCCAGCTCTTAACTCTCTGCACCCCTGGATGGCATCACTGCACTGAGAGTTTAGAAATCACACCTATTCATCCTCTACAATGCACACTCAAAGTCAATTTACCGTGTTAACTGTACTTTACCAGTAGAGTATATATTAATTTGTAGAAAAAAATAATTATCACATTTGTACATTTCTGTTAAATAACACATTTTGGAATTGGGTAATTTGACACAGAAGCCATAGATTAATGTGTACAGCAGCCATGCAAAGTAATTATTGCTGGAAGATCATAGTTCATGGGCATGCCTAAAAGTGAATGTTTGACTTTAAGAGAAAGGCCTATTGCATGGAGAATTCCTAGAATGTTTTCCTCATTATCTTTGTTTATGTCAGAAACCTATCCTCTGACAGCAATCAGTTAGATCCTAGCAAAGAAACAGAATAAGCAGAAGGCAAAAAACCGCTACGACAAAAAGCTAGAAAGTCTCAAATGTGCTACCCTTAGTTAGAAGGGAATAAGACAGGTTTCTTCGGGAATAGTGAGGGAGAGGAAGCTCAAAACATGGAAAAGTGCATTTGAAAAGACTTCAAACAGTGTAGCTGACATAGAAGTGGATTTCAATAGTTATTACTGATATTGACCCTGATATCAGTTTCCCCACATTAAACCCAGCATATATAGGGTTAAAACCAAAACACTCATTCTCTGCTTACTCTCTGGCTTCCTGGCTCCAGAATCCACTGTCCTCCATGGAGACGGACACCCTCAAGGAGAAGCACCTGGACTATCTCCTCCGGCAAAGAGATACCGGCTGGCGGGAAAGCAGCTGACCAGCAAGGTCATGAGCTCCCCTCCCCCCCACCTAAAACCCCAAATAAAAACCCTTCCTTTTAGCTTTTCGGGGAGATTTGGATTTCAGCGTTAGCTGCCCTCTCTCTTTGCTCAGCGCTGTGGGAAGATAAAATTCCTACTTTCTTCCACCACACCCGGTGTCAGAGATTGGCTTGCTGCACAGTGGGTGAGCGAACTCACTTCAGGTTCAGTAACATTACTAAACATTTCTAAGAAGAATTTAAAGCAGCAGAGCACTGGGGGCCCTTTAGGTGCACAGGTCAATGTGGTCGATATGAAAAAAACCAACCCATTTTTGTTCCTAACACCTACTTCTAGGGTTAAATAAGGCATCAGCTGATCCTTGAATTAAACATAATAATTTTGAAAGAATGCTCTGACGGTTTTAGCTGCAACTAAATGATTTTAGCTTTAATGCTTTAAAAGGACTACATTCAAATCCATTCAATATTTTAAGCCTATCTCTTTGTTTTTGTCAGGATTTGTATTATTTAAAGAGAAAGTCTGATTCTTCAGACAATTTAAAGAGAACATTGGAAATAGTAGAAATCTGCCATTATTCGAATTGGTCAACCCAGTAGTGTATGTATTTATATTTACTGTAATCTATCAAGCAATCTGGATATCCTGAGTATATTTGTTAAAAATGCAGGCCAATGTTTATGCACCTTTTGTCATTTATCTATTTTTATCATATATATAACAATTGAGGATTTACCTTCATTCTATAAAAGGAAAAAATGTATGGATCATTCCAGGTAGAGTATGAATATTTCCTGTTTTATTTTTGTAACATTTTGAATTTTGTTCTTAAGTTAAGTTCATGAGATTCCGGGATGGCAACTTTTTCAAGCTTTATGGTAACTGCTAAAGTGCAGGTTTGAACTGATCCACAAAATGACCATAAAATTTGGGGTTTTAGTTCTCTGTGACTCTTGTGTGACACAGAGTGTGGGAGTAAATGAGATACTGAGACCAGCGGAAACCTTCTGTGTGGAGCTATCTAATGTCATGCGATCATTGGTTATCTTTCTTCTGACATGATCTCTCTGAGAATCGATCCTTCATATCAACAAGTGCCTCCTAGTCTCAAAGCAGAGGTGAAAGGCCCGCAGAACCAGCACATCTAGCCGTGTTTCTGACCAAGCTTTTCCTCCAGCTGGTGAAATCCCAGGGCATAGATGCAGGTATCATCGGCCAGTGTGGGTGTGTGGCCTAAGTCTCTGCTGTGACACTGCTGAGCTCAGAGGGATAAAGTAGGATTTGCTGTGGGGAAGTTACGGAGAAAGCTGGGAGGGCTTTGGACCGTTGCAGAAAATAACTGATCTTGGGATCATGTTAGTTAATATCTAACGTTAACTTTATTTTACAGATGAAGAGAGGAATGGATCAGAATGAGAGTGGGTCAAAATATTTGCTATGCAGAATATGATATTTTAAAAATCCTCAGACATTTTGGGGAATATTTAATTCTTTTTTAGGTGATATAAATCTTTGTTTTTTTCTCTCTCTTCTATGGGTGCTACGTAACTGGTTAGCAATGAGTAATCCAAAGTTTACATTCCCTCATCCTGAATTAAATGTAATAGGAAAAGTTTCAATGTTTTGATAATAGGATTATTTTTCTATCAAAATAAATCCAGTTTCATTTTACAAATGTGTTTTCTTGTTTCCGTATACAGACATTCAATTAAAAAATAATTAAGCAAAATCTAATTAGGAAAACATGACCTTAAAACAAGATTTATCTTGTAATCTGGCATTGTGGTAGAGAGGGTACTTATTGAAAAACAAATGATAGTATATACATTTTATCATCATTTATGATTATTCAAGTTTTCTCAAATTATGAAGTAATTAAGTGGTGAAATATTTAGCTATTTTAATAACCCAAGAATCAAATATACTTAGGAAGAAGAGTCATTTGGTTCTTTCTACAGAGATACCAAAAATATTATTTTGGGAAAAATGTTTCTCCTTTTTAATCACTATTTATTTATATTTCTAGGAGAAAGGTTATTACGTATTTTTTGTAAAAATGTTGTTTATATAAGCTAAGTATAAGTGAAGGATAATATTTTTGGATAAAAAGAAATAAACTATAATAAATATCTCATCTAAACGTATATTTCTGTACACTATATATTTGTATATAAAATATATTTCAATAAATATTTTATGTGTATTTATTTGAACCGAAGACTATCATTTACTAGTTGTCTGATATTGGGGATATTATTTATATGCTTTGAGACTTAGTTTTCCTAATGTATTAATTGAAAAATAATCATCACTGTGCAGCGTTGTCATTAGAATTACAAGTTATGCTTTGCTCACTTAATGTCATTTTCTAAACCCCCTTTCCTTGAATCTCATGATACCTGAATTCTTCTCACACTCTTAGAGAGAAGTCATGACTCCAGTGACTGTAAGTTTCAAGGGGTAGTATAAACAACTGAATGGGGTCTGGCATAAGGCAATATGGCTGGTTGGCAGGTTTGTCAAATTGGAATCTGTTTGTCCTTCCTAAAGGGGGCTTACTCTATTTATTTAGTGTTAGAATATAGTTGCCGTTTGGGCATAATACAGGCACTAAGTGACCAAATATAATTTTTCAAGAGGAGATGTATATCTAGATTTTTCATGAGTATGAAATATATCAATTTTTAAATTGTGGCAATGAATTCATTTTAAAAACAGTGAAAGCTTAACATGACATGCCTATAAACTGTAATGGACCATTATTTAATTGTGTAAGACCTCTGTTGTAAGGTATCGCCAAGCGAAATTTAAATCATTTTTTCTGATATTCCTGGATAAATGGTTACTTTAAATCACTTATTTCAGACTCTCCTACTTATCGTTCATTTAGCTCTCCCTATTCCTTCATGATGAAAGTTGCCATTTTCAATGTTATTATTTATGCCTTATTAAGCATTGCAAAAGACTCTTGCTGTATTCTTTGCCTGCAGCCCTCAGAAATGAGCAAGGAGAGAGTGACATACACGGAACTGAAACTCCCATATTCAAAGAAACAGAAGAACAAAAGACATCCAACACCCAAAAAAAGAGGTAAAGTTCTTTGCTGTTTGTTTTCCTGTTTTCTGAAAACATTATAATGTCAAGTAAGAAAAAAATGAAATCATGATAATTGTGTCCATATATATTTATATTATATGCCTGGTTCTTTCTATACTTAGGGGTATATTTATAAGTAATATTCAATGAGATATGTGATCACAATAAATACTGATACTAATTTTAACCCCAGAATAAATTTCCATTTTGGTCTAATTCAGAGTTTTGCTATGCTCAATGCTTTCTATATATTTTGGTTTTTTGATCTTGTACAGAATTTCCATGGCGTGGTGTTGCAATAATCCTGGGAATCATATGTTTTTTTCTCCTGCTGGCCATCACAGGCTTAGGATATATGTGTGAGTATCAGGTACATACTTTCTTATGAGAACAGTGAGCCAAGATTAAAAAAAAATAAGGTACTATAAATATGGAACTTCTGCTGAACCTTTGTAAACTGTAAATTCTATAAAAATATTAGTAGTCATTATGGTGTTGATGAAGATTTTATTATTTTGTTATCACTTAGTTTTTATGCCACACAAAATAATGTGACAACAATAACATCACAAAAATTTTGCTGATATGTACAATAAGGTTTACATATATATATATTCTAACTTATTTTTCATATGGGATGAGGTTTTCCATATGACCAGAGAATTGGAGGAATCTTTATTTGAATATTACATTCCTTATCATACTGAGATACTGCTGAAATCACAAAGGAAAATAAACTCAATCTATTTTCTATATCATTAAATGTTATCCATCGGTTTTGATATATTTCATGTCAATTTTTAAAAAATTTGCACACAACACTGGCTTTCAATATCTTTTTCCTGATGATTATTAATTCTTTGGTTCACTCATTCTGCAAACAATTTTGAGTATCTTCTATGGATTGGGAACTATGTATGGCAGCAATGATACCAGAAATTTAAAAAGTGTCAGCTCTCAATGAATTCAGTTTAAGGGGGAAAGTTTCTTTTTAAATGAACCAGTTTTTAAAAGAAACATTATTAGTGCTAGCACAATGGCATGAAGCTACCAGATGAATGCATATAACATGCTGAGGTCAAGAAAGCAATCCTGTAGGAGATAATAATTGATATGATACAAAGGACAGGTAGGAATGAGTCAGGAGGTTCAGGGTAGAGAAGACTCATGCAGGTGGAGAGCAACATGAAAAAAGAACAGATTTATATTTTAGAAGAATTTCATTTTCTAGGCAAATTAAAAAAGTGGCTAGAAATAGGTTTGGCTAAATATGCAACTTCATGAATCTTTTGTACCATATTAAAAGATTTTAGATTTGCCCTAAAAACAAAGGAAACTGTTAGAAAATTTTATGTGAGGGGAAAACATGACTCATGTCACATGAGCAGATATGGATTTTGGAAAGATCAGTCTGAGTAGATGATAAAGTGAGTGAGGAGGATATAAGAGATTGTTTCAGGAATCAGGGTTCCTGACAATGGCTGTCTGATTTCGCGTCATGAAAGAAGTAATGAAGGGTAGGGAACATATTTGTGAAATTGCTAGAATGTGCATTTAATTGAATGGGTAAGGGAGAGAACGGAATCAGTGATACCATTTGGTATCAGGCTTACTCCCCTTGGTAAATATATTTCATTAAATGTTATAGAAAGTGTGAGAAGAACATTAGGCTATGACTGTGTGTGTGTGTGTGTGTGTGTGTTTGTTAATAATGGTGAAGACTGAGGTGTTTGTGGCACATCAGTGTTGATGACAAGAGATTGGTCTGTGTATCCAGAGTGAACTTTTTGGAAGTAGATATAGACCATCAGCATGTATATGGTAGGAGTAGGTGTCTGGGGATCAAGAGCCATGCCTAGATTAGAGACGGGAATTGTTGATTTATTGATTAATATAGCAAGTATTTGAAGACAGGGTAGAGGAATGTAGAAGCCAGACCATGTAAAGCCTTGTTAAGCCAGGGTGAGTAGATTATGATTGTTAGGATAAATCAACATTTAGAAGTAGGTGAAAAATGAGTAAATGGTGAAAATAAAATGATGCTTTGGTTAGATAAGGATGTGGGAATCCAAAACAGTATGGCATCATGGAGAGCAGGCTAAAGATAGTCAATGATTCCAAATGGTACAGGAAGATCGAGTAATACAATTGCCAAAAATATAATGGCTTGTTAAATTTGGCAAGGGAAAGGCCACTAATTATATTTGTTAGAATAGATTCAGTGGAATGGTGGCTATGATCGAAGATTGCAAAGGCTAAAATTTATTTGAAGATTAGGAAGCAGAGACGGTAACCAGTGCAAATTATTTTTAAAATTAAGGCTAAGCAAAAAATTTACCAAGTTTTGAAAGTATGTGGAACCACATGATCTCATATATTGTTAAAGGGAGTATAAATTGATAAACTACTTTCTAAAACATTTTAGTATTATCTTCTAAAGCTGAACATGATTCAGCAATTCTAATGCCAGGTACATATCCAAACAAAATCCTTGCACACGTACAGCTACACACATCTACAGGGATGTTCATAGCAGTGATTTTCACAGTATCAAACATCTCTGAACTGCCCAAAAGACCATTAATGGGAGAGTAAATAAAATCTCTGTAATTTACTCACAAAATGGAATTTATGTAGCAATCAAAACAAATGAACTACAGTGATACGTAACACTGTGGATGAATCTTAGCAAGATAATATGAAATGAAAAAGAGTAAATTTCAAAAATGATTCTATACCAGAATATCTTTGTATCAGGTTAACAAGTTAAAAGCAAATAAAATAGTACAATTTCAGGTAATACATAAAGAGACACTAAAACTATATACAAAATGTATCAAGGGAGAAATTTCAATGGGTTTCAGTTACACAGTTTGAGAGAGGCAGGAGGACGGAATGGAATGAAATATAAAAACAGATAAATGTAATGGTTAAGGTTCTGGCTACAGGTTTGGGTGACTAATTAAAAAACTATCTAATTAAATAAATGAGAAAGGTTCTTTGAGCAATGTTGAGAGTGTCTCATAAAGGAAAGATTATGAATAATCTTATCCTGGCACACAAGATCTAAAAGCTAAAAAGAAACAACTCTGTTATAAAGGATACGGAAAAGAAAGGACAGGAAGTTTTGTGGAAAAGTTGACTTGAGATGAACATATGCAAGAGAAGAGAATCATTAGAGGGAAATTATTGAAGATTCAGGAGAGAAATAGAATAATAGGAGATCACGATTACTAAAGATGCAATAGTGGACACAATCCAGACTAGGAGTGAGGGTTTCAGTCTTGTTCAATGGGATGCAATATTTTTCCTGAGATGGATGGATGGATCTGTGCTTTTATAGGAGGAGAAGCAAGAAGGAGAGGGGAACTTATGCTTGATGATGAATGTTCCTATGTGAAGGAGTAGATGAGGCCATCATCTGAGAGGGACAATCAAAGAGGTACACTAGATAATTTAGGGAAAGATTAAATACTTGAAATAGTTGTTGAACTGAGAGAAGGATGTGTCTCAAGTATACGTGTAGTACTGAGGGGCGAAATTGTGATGAAAACTTTAAATGTTGATGAGCATTAATCTGTATCTGTGCAGTTTTGTGACTTTTTGTCATCTGACTTCCAGAAGCTTGTGTGGAGACAAGATGGCCAGTGATAGGGTGTTTCAGAGTTGGCTATTTTTAGATGTGCAAAAAGACTGTATTGCATGATTGTTGGATGTATTGCCAAAATTACTTGTCTATTAAATGACGTTGGATAGACAAAAAGAAAAGGAGAAGGGAATTGCTTAATCACAAGTAATGCTAGTATTTAGGAACAAGACGTCTGAATGTGTCTTTTTAAATCAGGTCTAGAAGATGACCTTTGGAAAGAATTGCTGAATTGCAGCAATAATTATATACACTATAATTGAGAACATTAGGAGACTGTTCAATCAATGCTACTTGACTTTTACAAGTAGACGTTGAATTTGGGTAAATGATGGTGGGTGGTAGCAGAATTTGAAAAGAAGATTCTCAGTTGTGTTAGAAATCCTCGATGGATATTTTTAAAATGTTCATACATTTAAAGAGCCATACATTTCATGTTTTTACATTTTTTATTCAAGAGTTTTTGGAAGAGATTTCTATATCTCTCAGAGGTTTTTGACTTTCTGTTTGCACTTTAGAAGTAGCCCTCTGAGATCTTACCCCTATATATTCATTGAACCCACTATAAACTTGTACTAAACAGAGCAGATACCTTTGTTTAGCTCTAAATGCAAATACCAAATACTAAGTAAAATGCTGAATACTAAATTTCACAAACATTGAAATCTTTATTTGAAGAGTAGATAGCATAACAACTAGTTAGTATTTTTCTTATTTTCAGTTTATATTTTCTCCTTTGTAAATGTGTATTACTGTTTTACATGCTTTAAAACATAATATATAGTTATATATAAAAATCCATTTTAAGTTCTTCCACTTGAAAATATTTTAACCTTGCATTTTCTCTGACTGTACTTCCGTTTAGTCAACATCATTTACTTTGTAATTTAGAATTAGACAAAATGATCATAATAAAGTGATCTATTAAAGCCATTCATGATCTTAATTTTTTAATATGGATTGAAGATTTTTGGAACTCTTCTGAGGGCAAAGGACAAGATATAAAAGTTGTCCTTTGTGTCAAAGGAAAAAAATACTTCCTCACCAGACGTTGAAGATCACTCAGTTTTGCCGAGTTGTACCGGTATGTACAAAACACTTAAGCTGACAGTTTACAGATATTTTTCATGGAATTATCCCCTTCTGTCCTATTTCAATATGTAATTTTAAAACCTTTCATTGAACTTTGTCAGGGCCTTTAATTTTTCTCACCTTTTCTCACCAAATTCATTTTATTTGTTATAGCTAATTGAACACTTGACATTCACAAAGTAACAAGCCCCTGTTATATTGTCATATTGATTTGATCATTTGGCTATTTTATGCTTGTGGATGATTTTTCCCCAGTGTAGATCTCTCGAAATTAATACCATTCCCAATATTCACTTTGACGGGCTTCTTCCTGCGGAGAACTGCTCCATATTGCTGCAGTTTGTTTGTACTCGAGAAGTCAAGATTTCTCAGGGCCATCTTCACAGTGGCCTTGGGTCTGTCAGAGGCAGCAACTAGCTCAACAGTATTCTTACCTGCAGAATTTGGCAGAAGAGCTATTCCTAACGTAGACTTTTGGGATACAGGGACATCACCTACTCTCTGGTATTCAGTCTGAAGTAAGCAATGAAATACAGAGAAATTACAGGTCTCTAAATGGTCTTGGGGTTGCAGATGATGGTGGTTTTTGTTTTCAAGGTAAAGACTATGACCCATGTCAAGAAAAATGGTTCTGCTGTGGAAACAACTGTTACTATTTTTCAAAAGAAGAGAAAACTTGGGCTGAGAGTAAGATGTCATACCAAGACCTATGTTCTAGTCGTACTAAGGTTTATGACAAACAGGATCAGGTATGTTCACTTTATTAAACCTGAGCAGGTGCTTTATAAGAGATTCATGTGTCTTGAGTTAGGATAATCGGTTAGACCTCGCTGCAATATTATTTACCTGATTTTTTTTCAAGCACTTGTACATTCTGGAGCTGATTTACCTGCAGAGGAGGGGACACAGATGTAACAAGTACTTGGAAGAATCGTTGTTTTAAAACAAGAGAAATAGCTTTACTGAGGACTCCGTGGAATAATTTTCAGTCTTTTTATTATATGTGCTGCATCTTTACATTTTGGTATACATCAGACTGTTGAGATTTTAGCCTCTTGGTGCTACTACAGGGCAAAAGAAAATCTTCCTTCAATGATATGAGCAGTCTAAAAGAGACAGCGTCTCATTGTACTGAGTTCTAGTCTTCTCCCATCAATATTTGGGAGGCATCACAGTTCTAAGGGAGGATGAATCTCTCACTTTCCTGCCGTGGGAATATAGAATGAAAAATAGAGAGAATAAATATAGCTGGAATGATTCTTCCAAGACGAATTTTTGTTTCAGTCACAATTCAGAACGAGAGAGGGTCTCTATCTTCTAGGAGAGGAAATCTAGACCAAATTTGCCAGTACTTATAAAATTGGGGAATAGAAAGCCAATCTAACAGATTCTGTATTTTTCCTTCTGGTGATTCAATGTAGGCACTGAATTGCATTTATAATATTTAGTCTCAGCAATGACATTTCTATTAGTGTCTTATGAAGGATGAGTTAAAAACCCTATGTTTTCTTATGTATAGAATTCTTATGTTATTAAAATAATAGTATGAATAAATCACTCTTCATTATAAAAAATGAATGAATAGTAGAATATGAAGTCAAAGAAATACAAAAATCCAGTTGTAGCTTATAAGTACCTTGATCAATTTAAACCTCAGTTGTTATCAATCAATTCCTAAATGATACGAGTTTTGTCTACTCTCAGGAAATTAACGTTATTTATAATCCATATTTTCTTTGTAATTTCCAATTCTGTTCACTTCAGTTTTACTCCTGCCACTGAAGTTTGTGAAGATCAGAGTTTCAGTGGAAGTGCTTATATCTGTCATCCCTGTGTTTCTATGAACTATTCTATCTCCTTTGAAATTTCTGGTAAATTTTGCTATTGATTAGAGCAATAGATAGGCCTCATGCTGTCTTATCTGATTTCATGATAACTTTGCTATCAGTATGTAAATCTGGAATACTGACACACTCCACAACACCTGCAACAGACTTTGTTGAGCAGCATAACTCTCACACCACTGCTTTAGGGTTTTCAGTCTTTTGCTGCTTTACAAAGCCGAAGAATGTAATTAAAGCAGTGACTTAAATACACTATTTGAAAACAGGTTTTGACTTTTATACATTTATGTATACCTCTGACATCTAGCAAAAAATGTGAATCAAAGAATTAATGGACATTTAATTTTAGTACTTCTTCAGAGACCTAGAAAAGTTGAAGTTTTTTTAATTTTTTTATTGAGGTGCCATTGGTTTATAACATTATATAAGGTTCAGGTATACTCCGTGATATTTCACTTCTCTATAGAATACATCGTGTTCATCTGTTCACCACCAAAAGTTTAATTGCCCTCCGTCATGGTACAAATGTTCCCTTTTACCCCTGTCACCCTCTACCGTCACCCCTTCCCCTCTGGTAACCTCCAATCTGTCCTCTGTATCTACATGTTTGCTGGTTTGTTTATCTTCCATGTATGAGTGAAATCATATAGTATTTGCCTTTCTCTGTATGACTTATTCTGCTTAGCATAATACCCTCAAGTTCCATTCATGTTGTTGCAAAAGGCAAGATTTCATCTTTTTTATGATTGAGTAGTATTCCATTGTATATACACCACATCTTCTTTAGTCATTCAGCTGTTGATTGTGACTTAGGTTGTTTCCAAGTCTTAGCTATTGCAATGAACACAAGGGTGCTTATGTCTTTTTGAATTAATGTTTTTGTGTTCTTTGGATAAATACTTAGAAGTAGCATAGCTGGATCATATGGTAGTTCTATTTTTAATATTTTGAGAAATCTCCATACTGTTTTCCATAGTAGCTGCACCAGTTTGCATTCCCACCAGCAGTATATGAGAGTTCCCTTTTCTCCACATCCTCTCCGACACTTGTTATTTCTTGTTTTTTTAATAATAGCCATTCTGATGCATGAGGTGATATTTCATTGGGTTTTTGACTTGCATTTTCCTAATAATTAATGATGGTAAACATCATTTCATATGCTTGCTGGCCATCTGTATATCTTCTTTGGAAAAATATAAGTTCACATCCCCTGCCCATTTTGTAATCAAATTTCTTGCTTTTTAGTTGTTGAGTTGTATGAGTTCTTTATGAATTTTGGATATTGACTCATTGCATATATGCATACAAATGTCTTCTCCCACTTGTAGGTTGTCTTTTTGTTTTGTTGATGGTTTCCTTTGCTATGAAAAAGCTTTTTACTTTGGTGTAGTCCCATTTGTTTATTTTTTCTTTTGTTTCTCTTATCTGAGGAGACAAGATATTCGAGAAGATACTGCTAAGACCAGTGTCAAAGAGTGTTTTCTTCTAGGAGTTTTATGGTTTCAGGTCTTATATTCAAGTCTAATCCATTTGTGTTAATTTTGTATATGGTGTAATATAATGGGCTACTTTCATTCTTTTGCATATGGCTGTCCAGTTTTCCCAAAAGCTTTTATTCAAGAGAATTTTCTTTCTCCATTGTACGTTCTTGGCTCCTTTGTTGAAAATTATCTGTGCATGGATGTGTGGGTTTATTTCTGGGCTCTCAGTTCTGTTCCAATTATCTCTGTGTCTTTTTTCTTCCAGTTCTGTGCTGTTTTGATTACCATAGCTTTGTAGTATGTTTTGAAATCAGAGGGTGTGACACCTCAAACTTTGTTTTTATTCTAGGGATTGCTTTGGCTATTCAAGATCTTTTGTTGTTCTACATAAATGTTAGGCATCTTTGTTCTATTTCCATGAAAAATGTTGTCAAGATTTGATAGGATTGCATCAAATCTGTAGATTGCTTTAGAAAGTATGGAATTTTTAACTATGTGAACTCTTCCAATCCATGAGCATGGAATATCTTTCCATTACTTTGTGTCTTTTTCTATTTCTATCAACAATGTTTTATAGTTTTTAGTGTACAGGTCTTTCACTTCCTTGGTTAAATTTCTTCCAAAGTATTTTATTGTTTTTGTTGTGATTCTAAATGAGACTGTACTCTTGATTTCTCTTTCTGCTATTTCATTATTAGTGTGTAGAAACATGATTGATTTTTGTATGTTGATTTTGTACCCTGCAACTTTACTGTATCATTTGACATGCTTCTATAATACCTTTATATTTTTCCTAGGCAATAAAAGATAAACTATGATGATTTTCCTCTTATGTATTGTAATTATACTGATAAATAGTGGAATGTGTGTGAGAGAAAGAGAAAATAAATACATTGATTTTAGGAAATAAAATTAGTTTATTGCTTCATATTTGCATTCATAAGAATATTTGATGTAAATAAAATATACCAGTTGGAATATTAACTAAGAATAATTAACAATATTTTTATGTTAAAGGTGTTTCAGATACTTTGAATGCATTTTTGCAGTTCAGAAAAACTTGGAAACAGATATTTGGTTCCTGTTTCATAGATAAGGACAATGGTCAAGGAAGTTTATTTGCTTCAGTTTACATGGCAAATAAACGACACAGTGCATTTTAAAACTTGTAGCTTTCATTTCTTCATTTTCAATGCTGTATAATATTCCACCAAGCAGATAAACTTTACTCGTTCTCTACAGGAATGTGGATTGTTTCCAGTTTTTGTTGTTATGAATAATGCTTCATTAAACATTGTTAGATAAATTGCTGTCCCACATTTTTCCGTGTGTCCTCTCTTCTGTTTATCACAAATCATGTCAGGAGTAGAAGGATTGGGTTGTAGGGTATATAAAAGTTCAATTTTCTATGATAATTCCAAATTATTATTTTTATTAATATTTTGTGGAGTAAGTTTCACCCTGAGCTAACATCTGTTGTTAGTCTTTCTCTTTTTGCTTGAAGAAGATTTCCCTGAGCTAAAATCTTTGCCAGTGTTCCTCTATTTTGTATGTGGGTCACTCCCACAGCCTTCCCACCAACGAGCAGTGTAGATCCATGCCAGAAAACCAAACCTGGGCTGCTGAATTGGAATGCACCTAACTTAACCACTAGGCCACAGGGCTGGCTTGCCAAATTATTTTTTAATCTAATTCTTGGAACAATTTTAAAGATATTTCTTTGACCTCTACCATCCGTCCAATTTGGTGTTGTCATTTTTAATTTATGCCAATTGAATAGTTGTAAAATGTCTTTGTAGCCTTTATTTGCATTTCTCTGATCTCTAGTCAGCTTGGTACCCTTCCAAATTTATTGCCTATATATTTTATTTCATGTGAAATTTCTGTTTTTGATTTTTGCCCATTTTTTCCAATTGGATAACTTTGTTTTCTTATTGATTTTAAAAAATATTTTGTTCTTTAAAGTACTTCAAATATTTCCATATTTGAAACTTGTTTTTTTGTGTTCTTTAAGATGTTTTCTGATAAAGAGAAATTCTAAGTTTAGTGCAGTCACATTTACCTATCTATTCTATTATAGGGTGAGATCTTCTTCTTCTTCTTCTTTCTTTTTGGTGTGGAAGATTGGTCCTGAGCTAACATCTATGTCAATCTTCTGCTTTTTTGTATGTATGATATTGCCACAGCATAGCTTGATGAGTGGTGTGTAGGTCTGTGCCCAGGATCTGAACTCATGAACCCTGGGCTGCCAAAATGGAGTACAGAAACTTAAGCACTATGCCACCAGGCTGGGCCCCAGGTGGAGATATTTTTAAAAGTCTGTTACATCCCTTTCTTAATACCTTTCATTCAGTCACAAAGCAAAGTCTTGGGTGATTTATTATGGAGGCCTTGCCACTTCCCTTTCTTCTCTGCACAATAGAGAAATTAGTGCCTGCTCCATTTATCATAAAGGAGTTTGAATAATACTAGTTCTAATTTTCCCATAGATCTTCATTCAATCAAAGATAAAATACAAATATTGGATTAGATTACATTAAAAATGAGGTAATCATCCCTGGATGTGGCAGGATGGTTCCATCTCGGAACCTGTAAGTTTTCATTTCATAGACCTCCCCTCTGTTTTTGTTTTTCTCAGTAACTGATTCATAGAGTATAGATCAAGAACAGGAAAAGATGCTTTGGGATTAGGGCCCATCATTAATTCCATTTGATCTCACTTCTCAGATAGGTGGCTGCAAATCTCAGACCCCAAATAATCAGAACCAAAGACCATTATTTCTTTCCATTTTCTTTAATGGAGAGTCCTTCCAAACACAGTAAAATATCATTTTGCTTTTGTATCTTTCTCTTGTATATTCCATGATAGTAGTTCTTTTGACAGATATAGTTGGACGAAAGGATAAAACTATAATGATGAAATAAAAGTGTTATCTAAACCCGGCCCTCCATCTAAGTGAAATTTGTAGCTGTTTACTGGGTGTCATTTAAGAACTAAAGAAAGATCCATTTCCAAATCAATCATTTAGTAATCTTGAATATCTAATTTGGTAATCAATACCATTCTTGCCATTGTTTTTCACAAGTCTACATATTCCTGGTAGTTCTCTCTCATTAGCAAGTTAGCATAGATTTGTCGATTAATGTCAGGAAACTAGTTTAGAAAATGAAGAAAAAATCCCTGTTATAATTAAACTTCAGTACCACAGGGGAAAATATGAGCAATTAGCAATGGGCTGATTAACATGCTGTTGATTGAGTGCCCATAACCTGCCACGTACTATTTTGGGAAATGAAGCCATAGCATTGAAGAAACATGCAAAAATATTCTGCTCTTATGGGTGTTAAATCTAGTAAAGGACTGAGAATGGTGGTTTTGGAACCAATGATGAAGAACCAAATATTCCAAGTTAATTATATAGCATATCAGAAGATGAGAAATGCCGTGGAGTGATATGCACTCCCTTACTTGTTATATCACAAAGTACTTTGTGTGTGTAGGTAAGAGGAAGAGATTTCACTGTCTTAAATAACTTGTCAGAGACAGCCTCCTTGAGACAGTGATGTTTGTACAAGAACTTGAATGAGCAATCTTTGTGGGTTACCTGATGGGATAGCATCCTAGCAGGAAAAATAGCTGGTGTAAAGAGCATGAGGTGGGAGTGTATTTAGCATGCTTGAGGAAAAAGCAAGAGGGCCTGTGATGCTGGAGCAAAATGAACAAGGGGGAGAGAAGTAGGTCAGAAAGGTAACCAGAGTGAAAGCATGTGGGATGTCAGAGGTCATTGTAAGACGTTTGATTTTTTTTTGCCAGCGTAATGAGAAGCTATTGGAGAGTTTTGAGAGGAGTGACGTGCAGTCTTCCTGTTCTGAACATTCACTCTGGGTACTCTGATGAGATTAGATTGTGTGTGTATGGAGGGAACAATATAAATTAGTATGCAGGGAGCCTAGCTGAAGTCATCCAAGTGAGACATGGTGGGGGCTCGATGAAGATTTGCAGGATTGTTGTTGGTGAAAAATGGCCGATTCTAAACATATTTCAAAGATGTATGAGAGACAGAGGAGTCAAGGATGGTTCCAAGGTTTTTGGTCCAGAAATTGTAAAAATGATGTTGTCACTAACTCTAATGGGGAATTTCTAAAGTTCAGTTTAGATATATTTCATAAATCTCTTAAACATTTAGCTCTCTAGTGGGATATCACATGAGAATTTTGCTATGTGAGTATGAAGTTTAGATGAGAGGTCTGTGCTAGGGATGCAAATTTAGCCCATATCAGTGTATAGACAGTATCAATACCATGAGGCTGGAGGTGATCATCAAGAAATCTAAGGCCTGAGCCCTTGGACACTCAAATGTTTAAGATAATGGGGAATGAGGATAACCAGAAAACATTACTGAGAAAAGTCATTAGAGAGATAAGAAGAAAACCATGAATTAGCGTGTAGGATTATGGGATACCTTAAAAAAGAGTGCTACTGAAATAATAAGCAGAATTTTAAAAATTGGTCCCTACTTACTGATAATTTTGTTGCTCGAAATTATAACTATCAGTTAGATTCATGACATTTGGAGGAAAATTTAAATTAAATAACATTTTCTTTTGTATGTTGCATCCTAACCCTATGATTCAAAACCCATGTTTCCCATTCTCACTGCTCGATTTCACAAAATTTTATTGCTTTGTTTATGTGGAAGACATTAAGCTCAGTGGAAAAAAGGTACACTCTTGTTTTAAATGCAAATAAGCGCTTTCTATACGTAAAGTCAGTCTAACATGGGAGACACATGTTCTATGCCCATTAATCCAAGTCATAGGAAACTGGAAATATTTTTATATCGAGTTACAATGTGTCACATAATAAATTTATTATATTTAGTCAATTCCCAGAAGTTTCAGAAGTCTCAAAGGAATCTTTCAAATATATGTATCTAATTTATGTATACATCCTATTTGATACTAACCTGCCTACTCCTTCCCTAGCTCCATTGTCCATTGGCAATATTTCCATTTCTTTTAGAAACAATTACACTTTATATATAGATTTTTTTTTTTTTTTGAGGAAGATTAGCCCTGAGCTAACTACTACCAGTCCTCCTCTTTTTGCTGAGGAGGCCTGGCCATGAGCTAACATCCATGCCCATCTTCCTCTACTTTATATGTGGGACACCTACCACAGCATGGCGTGCCAAGTGGTGCCATGTCCGCACCTGGGATCCTAACCGGCTAACCCCGGGCCGCCGTCAAGCAGAACATGCGAACTTAACCCCTGCGCCACCGGGCCGGCCCCTACACTTTATCATTTTATAGCTATATATCTGTCACAAGATTTTTGTGTTCATTGAAATAATTACACACATATTTTTTAAATTTGTGATAATCAAATTTTACCTTAAGGAATGTCTTTCTAAAATAAATATATTCTCTGATGCAGGAATTTTCAGCAGACTACACCTAATGCAAAATGTGGACACGTCGTCAGCAAGTATTACTACCACTGATTGTACTCGAGAGTTTCATTTCATTTGTGAAAAGAAGTTTACCTGTCTTGATAATTAAAAAATGACTATAATCAATGTCTTAATATTTTCATTCTTTTATAACTGTTAGGGAAAAAACTTAGGATATTCACTCAAATTAGTCAAGTATGTGTGATTTAGGAAGAATTACGATCTCTCAAAACATACCTGAGCAAGGATAAAACAAGAAGCTTTATACGTAGTAAATTTTTTAAAATTTATTTTAGTTTTCATAAGGAAGATTGAGCTAACTTCTGTTGCCAATCTTCCTCTTTTCCTTTTCTTGAGGAAGATTGTCCCTGGGCTAACATTTGTGCCAATCTTCCTCTATTTTGGATGTGGGATCCTGCCACAGCATGGCTTGACAAGCGGTGTGTAGTTCCATGCCTAGAATCCCAACCCGTAAACTCCAGGCTGCCAAAGTGGAGCACGTGAACTTAACCGCTATGCCACCGGACTAGACCCTATATAATAAAATTAAATAAATCCAAAAAATAAGTTTATTTTTTTGAAATTTCAAGAACAAATAAATCACAGAACATAAAAAAATCATTTTGATTGCGTGAAAGATAGTACTTTTCTTCTTAATCATTTAATTTATTTATTTGACTAGGTAATGAATACATTCACCCTGTTCAAAATATGAGGCACAAAATGATGAACAAATTCTCTTTTCCCATCTTGTTCCCTAGTCACCTAGTTCCTTTCTCAGAGGCAAAATTTAACTAGTTTCTTAGATATTATTCTAGAGGTGTTCTAGGAAAGTACAACCATATGCATACTACCTGCTAAACCAAATGTTACATAAGTATAAACAATGGTCTTGCTTCTTTATTATTTTAAATATATTTTGCAGACTGTTCCATATCAGTAAATAAAGATCTTCCTCATTTTCTGTAAATAACAGCAAGTATTACACTAAATGAATGTACCAACATTTATTTAGAGTTTTATTTCAATGGACATTTAGATTTGTCTTAGACTTTTGCAATTATAGAAAAATGTTGCAATGAATAGCACTTAATTCAGTATCATTTACCATCTTGTGTATCAATACATTAAATCTTTAGCAATGTAATTTCTGGGTCAAAAGACATGTGCCTTAAATTTTAATAGATATTTAATATATAAATAGAGGTTGTACACACATTATCTCCACACAGCAATGTTCCAGAGTGCCTGCTTCCTCATATCTTTATCACCACAGTGTGTTACAATCTGTTTGACTTTGACAATAAAATCTTTAACAATGAAAAGGGTTGTCTTGTATCATTTAATTTAAATTCTTTATTTGTGAGGCTGAGCATCTCTTTATGGTATTTCTTTTATTTAAACTATCCGTTCATGTCATTATGGTTTAATATCACAAATAATTTTGAGCAAAAGAAACCACACACAAAATAGTTCATCCTATAAAATTCCATTTATTTATATAGCTCAAAGTCAGGTAAATCTAATCTCTACTGTTAGAGATTAGGACAAAAGTTACTGCAGTGTGTATTTATTCCTAGAAGGAATAATAATGGGGAATGAATAGTAGTTACCATGGTGCAGGTTATTTCTGGAAAGAAACAATGTTCAAGGAGTATTTCTCGGGTGCTGGTAATGTGTGTTTACCAGTCTGGGTTCTGGTTATGTGGGTGTTGTGTTTCTTTCCTAGGGCTGCCATAGCAAAGTACCACAAGTTGGATATCTTAAAACAACAGAAATTAATTTTTTCACAGTTCTGAAATCTAGAAGTTCAAAATCAAGGGTCGACAGGGGAAAGCTCCATCTGAGACTCAGGGTAAATCCTCCTTGGCTCTTCCGAGCTTCTGATGGTTGTTGGCAATTCTTGGCATTTCTTGATTTGTTTCTAAATCACTCTAATCTTTGCCTCTGTCATCACGTGGCATTTTTCCTCTTTGTCACTGTCCACATGTCCCTCTTTTTATAAAGAAACCCATCATATTTGATTAGGCTTCTCCCTAATGACCTCGTTTTAACTTGATCACATCTTCTAGACCCTATTTCCAAATAAGATCATATTCACAGGTACTGGGAGTTGGAATTTCAACATATATTTTTGGGAGACACAATTTAACCCATAACAGGTGTTAAAATTAAATGAGCTCTACATTAATGGTCTGTGCAGTTTTCTTTATGAGTGGGATACTTACATAAAGAGTTTGCTTAAAAAAAGATGTCATTTACATTAGGAAAAAGTAAAATACATAGAAGTAAATATAACAAAAGATGAACACAATTACCATGTAGAAAATTATAAAACTTTCCTGAAAGATATTAAAGACCTAAATTACTGAAGAGATATCTCTTACCAATGGATAGAAAAGTTTAATAATATTATAAATATATTGACTCTCCCAAATGTGTTGTAAAAACTTAGTGAAACTAAATCAAATCCTAACACTCTTTTTCTGGAAAATAGAGTTAATTCTAATATTTCTATGGTAAGGCAGAGAGCCAAGAACAGCCACTATACTTCTAAAGATGAAGAATGATAAGAGAAAATTTGGCATGATAAATACAAAGCTATATATTATAAGAGAAATAATAATTTAGACAATTTGTTATTGGATCATGGACAGACAAATTGACCCCTAGAACAAAAGCAAAACAAGGCAATGCACAAGGAGATTTACCAAATGTTTCAAAGTAGAGGAGCACTGCCATCAATCAAGAAACGATGAAACTAGAAATCGCTGGGGCTAGGTCTTTGGGTCACTTCTGGGCAGGCATACAAAAAAAATTTACTGTGGAATTCTTGACATACAGTAAAGGTAGATATTTAAAGTGTATGATATGACAACTTTTGACATGCCTATGAACGCACTGACACAGGTATAGTGAGCACATATATCACTCTGAGAAATTTTCTTGTGCCTCTTTATAATCTCTTACTTCCACACCGTATGCCCACCTCCATCCCCATGACACCACTGATCTGCTTTCTGTCACTTTGGTTTGCATTTTATGGAAATTTATATAAATAGAATTATATATCTATGTACTCTTTCTTTCTTTCTGAATTCTTTCACTCAGCATCATTATTTTGATAGTCATCCATGTTGTTGTATACCAGTAGTTCATTCGTTTTTATTGTTAAGTAACGTTCCATTGTTTATATATACTACCATTTATTCTTCCATATATCTGCTGATGGGCTATTGGAAGAGGTCATCAAGAGAACGTGATTTCCAGCTGACTTGTGAGCTGAACTGGGCAATCAGAGGCTCCTCATCCCCTTCCCTGTCCTTGGAATGTACGTTCTGCCCTGAGTTCCTACAGTGGGAGCCATTTTCAGGTATGCAGCATGGAGAGAGCAATGTGTTTCTGAGACCATCTGGACAGTATATGTGGCTGAACCCAGCTAGTGTCTCTATATAAACTTTTAAGATTTCTGGTGGGAAGATGCAAAGATATACTTGTCTTGCAGCTGCCCAAGATAATCCTTGCCTGTAAGTTCCAACAATTATTAAAACTGCTACCTACCAATCTGAAGTAGTCTGCCTCTTTCTTTGGTCTCTCCTTGCCCTCCATGTATAAGAGGGCACTTTGCAAACCACCATGGACATTTGAGTTATTTTCAGTTTGGGCTATTGTGAATAAAGCTCTTGTGATGTTAGTGTACAATTCTTTGTATGGACACATATTTCCTTTTCTCTGGGTTAAATGCTAAGAGTGGAATAGTTGAATCATCTAGTAGTGGTATGTTTGACTTTTTATAAACTACCAAACTTTTATAAAGTAGTTGTGCCATCTTACATCCTCACTAGTAGTGTATGAGAGTTCAGTTCCAATACATGCTTGCCAACAGTTGCTATGATCAGATTTTCAATTTTAGCTATTCTTCTGTGTATTGTATGGCATTGTGATTTCAACTTGCAGTTCTCTAATGGCTAATAAGATTGAGCACTTTCTCATGTCCTACGTTGTCATTCATATATATATTTTTGGTCAAGTGTCTATCCAAATCTTTCGTGATTATTTTTTAGTGGGTAGTTTGCTTTCTTATTGTTGAGTTTGCAAGTTATTCTTCTGGATACAACTCTTTTTATTAGATACATATTTTGAGAATATTTTTTCCCCTGTCTTTGGCTTGTCTTTTCATTCTCTTAACAGTGTTTTGAAGAATTGTTTTAAATTTTGATGAAATCCAATTTTTCCATTTGCTACTTTATGAATTGTGCTTTTGTTGTCATAGCTAAGAAATCGTTGCCAATTCCAATGTCACAAAGACATTCCCATATGTTTTATTCAAGAAGTTTTGTAGTTTTACATTTTACAATTAGGTGTATGTTCAATATTGAGTTAACTTTTGCATGTGATGCAAAGTATAGATCAAGTCCTCTTTCTGTTTTTCGTTTTTTATTTGCGTTAACTATACAATTATTCCAGCACCATTGTTGAAAGTCTATCTTCTTTCCACTGCAGTATTTTTGTCAACAGTTTTCTATAAATTTTCTAGAGTATATATCATGGGGTGCTCTTGTTGAGTGTGGTCCTGGCAGTTTAAAATTGTCAATACCCATGTATTTATGGAACTTTGAAGTAAGACACATGAGACAGAGTTGTCATGTTCTATTCAATAAACTGATCTGCAATAATTGTTATCCATATGGAAAAACTTGTTGCTAAATATGTGCCTCATACCATACAAGAAAAATATAATCTACGTCAACTGAATTAAAAAGTTAAATGTCAAAATCAAAACGTGAAAACACTTAGAACAAAAAAATTACCGAAGTAACCCTATACTTATGATAGGTAAAAATTTATTAAACAAGATGAAAAAGCATTAATCATAAATCAAAAAAAAAAACTACTTTAAAGTTAACTCTGTATGTTTACCAAAAAATGTCACTAAAATTGAGAAAACAGGTGACAAAGTGGACAAAATGTAGATTCAAATGTAACTAACAAAATATTAATCAAGAACTTGTACGGAATTCCCTCAAACTTGTTGAGAAAACCTAAGAGACACCTAATAGGAAAATGAATAAAAGACACAAATAGACAAGCATAGAAGAAACGCTCATGACCTTATAAACAGGTGT